TAGATATTTTTCTTAATTCTATTTTTTTTTGCTAAAATCTATTTTTTCTCCAATTTAACATAGCTGTTGTAGATGCTTTAAGTATTTAATATAAAAGTGGGGTAAATGCACCTCTACATACTAATATTTTTTCTCACATATGTGAACATCAAAACTTGTTTTTTTTACATTCATATTGTATGATTTGAGCTGATTTTGACATTAATGAAGTGCATATAGCAATCCCTTTTAATATAATGCTATATGCACCATCTTTTATGTCAAAATCAGTTTTGATAATGAATTGAGAATGTAAAAAAGTAATTATTAATGTTGATATGTGTGAGAAGAAAATTAGTAGGTATAAATGTTTAGAAGTGTATTTATGACAAATGTTCATCGTGTGAGAATTGGTTATAAGATGAGAAACGTAAGAAGGGGTTTAGACTCGTGATCACTTTTAATCTCATCCACCCCATCGATTATGGGAACTGATCTGGTGCATCTCGGTGCACCGCATTAGTGTTAATTTTCAATTATGATCGATCCAAATATGAAGATTTCTTCTTACCCTTCTCAAATAACTTTCATTCTCACAAAAACACAACTGATATATTTTGTCCAGTAATAGACTTACATGATAAGAAGGGAAGGGAAGGGGCTCATTAAAAAAATAAAAAATTTCAAGGTTTAAAATTAAATAATCTACAACTTTTTATTTCTATCCCTCCAGTATTTTTTTGCAAGGGACCCCACAACACTGATATCAATCAAAAACCTAAAAAAAGTCATTCGAAATCAACAAAAACACTAAGAATCTCTCGAAACCAACCAAAAATCCTTTAAAATCCCTCGAGACAGTATAATTAGGCTAAAAACACCTCGGGCGACTTTGCAGGCCTTTAATCTACCTTAAATGTGCTCCCAATAGACAAAAATTCTAGATCCGTCACTGATTTTGTCCGTGTCATTTAATATTATTTTTGGTGGAATTTTATATATTATAAACTTTTTAATCATATGAGTTTTAATTAAATGGAATATGTGAAATATGTATATGACACATTCCATATGTGTGTGCTGGCCACTAGTCAAGCACAACCGGTGCAGTCCCACGACGGTGCCTAAAAATGGGGCCCATAAAATTTTACTTTCCACATAAATTCAAGAGTCAATTACACTTGTGGTCCCTGAGATTTGCTCAAGTTATAGGTTTGGTCCCTGAAGTAAACTATCTAAACTTGGTAGCTACTAACTTTTCAATTTCAAATTGCATGAAAAAGTAATGTACTTTAAGTCTTTAACTTAATTCCTATTTTGAGTAACGTATTTTCAAAACTTCCATTTGGTACATAAGATGTAAAGTTTTAAACATTTAAGTAGTCGGGTAATCAGTTGAAGCATTAACTGATTATCATGCTGATGTGGCGAGTGATGTGGTATCGAACGCAATATTATTTGCTGACGTGGTTCGTGACATGGATTTTTTTAATCCAAAATTAGTATTTTTTTAATCTAAAATTAGTAATCAACCGATTAACCGGGTACTTAAATGTTTAAAACTTTACATCTTAAGTATCAAAATAAATTTTTTTAAAATACGTTAACCACAATAAGAATCAAGTTAAAATATGTTACTTTTTCATGCAATTTGTCTATTTCAATACGCTTAAGGTCTATATAGTTAATTATGTCAGTTAAACTGAGGGGAATGAAAATTCATTCCCATTTTCATTATCTATCATTTCCATTCATTTGACTGAGCCAAAGACTCCGTAAATCTAAAATTTGAGGAAATCATAGGCACAAACAATGTAATTACTCTAAATTAAATGTTAGCAATATGGTTTGTATCAAAATCTATTATCTTTTCGGTATAGATTAAGGGGTCGTTTACCAAACGCTTACCCGAGTAAGCGCTTATCAAATCACATTACATTATCGAATGGATATGGTAAGGACCAAAAATCTTATCCTGTAAGAGCAAGACAAAGACCAATAATCTTACCCGGTAAGTGAGGGCAACGACTCTTACCATGGTAATTGCTTACCGGGTAAATTATTGCATACGATGTCGTTTTGATGGACTAAAATCTTACCCGGTAAGTAAATAAAAGTGTTAATTTTTGTCGATAAACATTTACCGTGTAAGTGTTTGATAAACGACCCCTAAAAATATATACGAATTAGATCGGTTGACTTGTTTATAATTTATTTGAAAACTTTATTATTAATCAATGTATTAAATGTAATTGAAAATGCATGCATATAATATTAAGGTACTTTAAGTCACTTATTATTTTTGATAATATATTATTTGGGTATTGTAATCTCAATCTTTTTATGTCATTATTAAATAAAACCATGTAGTAAAAATAAAACTTTTAAAAACTTTCATTTTGGTATTTAAGATGTAAAGTTTTAAACATTTAAGTATTCAGGTAACCGGTTAAAGAATGAACTTTTTCTTCTAATAAACCACAATACATAAAAACTAATTTTATATTAAGATATCCATTTTAACAAATAATACTAAGTTGGATATCACATCACTCAACACATCAGCATGATAACTGGTTAATGTTTTAACCACTGACGGATCCAGTGCATGGTGGTAGGGGTCCTAGCCCCCAACAAACCCACCATTTTTTATTTAAAAAAGACTATAAAAATTTATTTAGTAAATTTTCCTATTGTGCACCCAATAAGAACAAGGCAAGGGCGACCAACTTGATATCCTGATTGTTAATTGGTCCATTTGTAGTACACATTGATATTTTCGTTCGAAATATAAAATATAAAAATTATACACCTCGATGAATTAATAAAAAGTCAACCGAAAAAGAAAACCCAAAACCGTTTTCATTAGGATGATTTTTTGGTTTTGAATTTTTTTTCTCTACACCTCTAAGTGTGCCCGCTAACTATAAATGTTTATGGATCCGCCACTGGCTTTAACCGATTATCCATGTACTTAAATGTTTAAAACTTTACATCTTAGGTACTAAAATAAAACTTTTAAAAGTATGTTAGTCAAAATAAAAATCAAATTAAAGTACGTTATTTTTTCATGCAATTTATCCATTTAAATATACTGTTATTTATTACAATTCTTTTTCAAAAAGGTTATTTTATTAATACATGGTGAAAACCTATAAGCATATTTGGAATTATTATAAAGTTAGCTTTAAAACAAAGACTCAAAATTGCTTTCATGCGGAAAAGTCGTGTTCGAGTGAACTCTAAGTATTGAAACAATTTTTAATATGTAAAATTAAAATTTAAAGGTTGTTTATTTATCTCTTAATAGTTTTAATAAAAGACAATATCTGAATCGTTAAGATGTAAATCTTGTTTGGCAGAAATGATTTTTGCCTCTTAATGATTTTAAAATTATCTGAAAGATTTTGTATTATGAGTCTTCCTTAACTATTTAAGCCTTATTTTAATTGTAAACAATTATATTTTTTTTGCACTATATCATGAGAGTCTATTAATCATTCTGACCACTTAATTATTCAACATCAAACCATTCAGCAACCGTCAAACAACTCATTAATATTTTATTAACTTTCCAAACTTTTATATATTAAATTTTTTTTATGATAATAATTATTTTTAAAATTTAAAAACATTTATGACTCTTCAACTAAAATACCAGATAATATTAAACTTGAACACTAGATATTTCAACAACTTAGAATAGAGTTGCAGAAGGGTCGTTCCTTAGCATGTTAAATATAAGATAAATTGCATGAAAAAATAACGTACTTTAACTTGATTCCTATTTTGGGTAACGTATTTTCAAAACTTTCATTTTGATACATAGATGTAAAATTCTAAACATTTAAGTACCTAGGTAACCAGTTGAAGCATTAACCGGTTACTATGCTGATGTGGAGAGTGATGGCCTGATGGGATGAAATTGGGTTGAATAACAAATAATACTAAGTTGGATACTATATCACTCGCCACATCAACATGGTAACCGGTTAATGTTTTAACATGTTAATTGGGTACTTAAATGCTTAAAACTTTACATCTTAGATACCAAAAATATAAATTTTGAAAATACGTTACCCAAAATAAAAATCAAGTTAAATTACATTAATTTTTCATGCAATTTCCCCCTAAATATAAGATATTGAGTAGGACCCTAAAAATTTGGAGCCTAATTTTACATGTTTTGGGTTCACATAATCAAATTGCTAATTGTTTAGATTTATACTTTATTATTATTATTATTAACCTGTATATCCAAACTGCTACACGAGGCGACTAATCCCAGGCGACCACCTGTTTTACGAGTAGCCTGGAGTCACCGCATTTGAATCTCTGTGACCACAACAAATTTCTTATCTCTTTTTGGATTTGAACCTAGGACCCCAAACACTTTTGACATTTGGAGTCCAAATTCAAACCAATCAGTCACCACCCTTATGGTTAGGTTTTTGCTTCTTATGTGTTTAACATAAATATAACTCTTGTTTTATTTTATAGCGTGATCAAAACTTTTGAATATAACATAGTATTCGAAAAGACTGAAACACCTTTAAATAGAGATAAATATTTGATGATAAAATGTTTTACTTTTTTTTTATTAACCTGGATATTCAACTCGCTATGCGAGCCGACTAATTACAGGACGACTACCTGCTTTGCAGATAGCCCGAAGTCACCGCATTTAAATCTCCATGGCTATAAGGAGATTTTACTTTTAGACTTTTCACTAAACCTAAGAACCGTAATTCAAGTTTACTCAAAACTATCCTATTTGCTAAACAGGTCTAATATGAACGCCCCGACCCGACCCGCCTTAACGGCAATTAGATCCAAATCCTCCAAGAAAACATTGATTTAAAAATCAAAATATACCAATACGACGCCGTCTAATGAAACGCTAATGAGCTCCAAGAAAGTAGCCGTTACAGAGAGCGTCCATATCCTCAAACGTTCTTTTTCTTCTACTCGATCGCCATCGTCGATGATCTCATCCGATAAACCGAATCTCACAAATCCTTAATTTTTCTCTCTCTAAAACCAACTATTATCCTCTTTTCCGGCGATTTTCCGATGGAATCGAACGGTAAGAACGTCGGAGCAGTGACACTGACGCCGCCGAAGTCAAAACAATCCGGTAAGTCCAAACAGCCGGAGAATGTAAACCCTAATGTTACTAGCCCTAATTCGAAGGGTTCAAATTCCCCAGCAATCAAATCAGCGACTAAAAGCCAGAAATCGGCGACGAAGAAACCTAATCAGATTGGATCGCCTTCTCCAAGGAACAAGATTCGTGAGAGGAAATTTGTGGTGGCGAAGAAAAATTCGAAGAGAGAGAAGGATAAAACCCTAATCTCAGTCGATTGTAAGTGTAAAGCCGGTGGGAATTCGAATAGGTGTTTCTGCGTTGCTTATGAGACACTTAGGGCTTCTCAGGAGGAGTTCTTCAAGAATCCGATTGTGATGAACCCTAGTTTAGCCGATAGTGAAGTTGCAGTACAAGAAGATGAAGAGAAGAAAACCAATGGAAACCCTAATTTACCAGAAGCAAAATCTGAAGAAGATGAAGTGGTCGAGAAGTCTGGTGAAAAGAGGAAAAGTATTCCTGAACCTGGATCTGGAAGAGTGATGAATTTGGTTAAGGCCTTCGAGAACATTCTTACATTACCGAAATCGGACGAAAGTGGTGATAAAGGGCAAGAGGAAGAACAACAACTTGAGGATGGAACAAAAAGGGATTCAAATTGGGAATTCTCTTCTTCTTCATTTTTCCCATCAGATCTTTTAATCACTGCAGAAAGTTTAGGGTTGCGTTCACGTGTTTCTTCTTCACTGGATAGTAGCCATGGGAGCATTGCAAACAGGACTTCAGGTGGTGGGAGGCAAAGCAGAAGAAATGTATGTAATCATTCACCATTGTTTCTTTGAAATTGAGATTGTTCTCCTTTCTGTTTTTGTTTCTCTGAAATTGAGATGGTTTCTTTGATTATGCAGAGCGCTGGATCATCTTCAAGTTTTGGTGGTAGCAGATGGAAAAGAAGGACACTTAAGGCTACTGCCCAGCAACCCTTCAAGCTCAGAACAGAGGTTAGCATTTACAGTTGCTTATGACCCTTTTTGCATCACTTTAACCTCTAAAATTTCGTATCTAACATAATATTTGATGACGTAAATGTCAAATCTATCGTGCGGTTTGCCGTATCTCTTTCGTAAACAATTCATTAACCTTTAGTAAATGTGTATCCATGTCATCAAATGTTCAAACTTTGCTTCATCGAATAAGAAATAGAAATTGTTCGTTGCACTAAATAGGAAGTTAGGAACTAAACCAAAAACTGTGTTGCATTTTGATGCATTTTGACCATGAGAAGTTCTTAGCTCTTCCTCTATTCACTATTTGGGCAAAGTTGATTACTGGGAAACTCCAACCGGTCCGTGCAAAACCTGCCTCCAAGGACACCAATGTGAGAGGACATTTTTTGGGCTGAGTCTAGCCGCAGGGGTGGGGATGGGGATCGAACTCAGGACATGTCTTGTAGTTGGGCAAAGTCACCTTACCCCCTTGCCAACTGAGCTACACGCCATAGGCTCTTCCAATTCACTATTACCTTCATGTTAATAGTGTTGTGTATATTCTTTGAGTAACTAACCAAAACATGTCCTTGTATCTGTGAGAATACTGAAACCCATCATATTACTCACCAAAAGAGCCATAAGGAGAAAGGGACGAGCCTAAGGGGTTGTTTGGTTGGTTTTCCATTAAGTCTCCTATATGGATAAAGCAGACTGTGGATTAATCTGTCTATATATATTGGAAGTGTTTTTGTTTGGTAGGGTGTTTTTTAATTGGGAGGGACAAGATTGGAAAAAACCTGGCTTTCTGCATAAAGCTCCTCCCTAGAAGTTTACCGAATAAGCCACTTTCTGTATCATTAAGCCACTACCAAACAGTCATGTATATAGCTCACCGAATAAGCTGTGAGCCTCATTAAACTCATTAATCTGCTAACAAACAATCCCTAAGCAGATGTGAAATTCCAATTGTATCTTTGCCCACATTAACTCACTTGTAACTGTTGTATTGTTTGGTTGCAGCAAAGAGGAAGGTCAAAGCAAGAAGAGTTCATGAAGAAAGTCCAGGAGATGATGATTGAGCAGGAAAAGCAACGGATTCCGATAGCCCAAGGCCTTCCATGGACAACAGACGAACCAGAGGTGACGACCACAGATCTTTTCTCAAATAATGCAACTATTCGAAGCTATTTTATCTCACAAGTTTTTGTTTTTATGGTTGCGGCTTTGAGTAATTTCAGTGCCTGGTGAAACCGCCTGTCAAAGAAAGTACAAGACCGGTTGATTTGGTGCTGCACAGTGATGTGAGAGCGGTGGAGCGGGCCGAGTTCGACCATCTGGTATCTATTTTTCACTCGAAAAAAGGATCCAACTAACATCTTATTTTTAGATATACTACAACATAATCGAGATTATAGGATGCCAAAACTTTATAGGACCAAACCTTTGTGTGTCCTATTTAAAAGTGTCGTAATAAGTTCATAAGACGCTTTCAAGTGTCTTAACAAGCCTTTCAAGAAGTGTCCTATAAATAACATCTTTCTATAAAAGGCCTAATAGGAAACCCAAAAGGTTCATATAAACTTATTACACCACCTTTAGATAGGATATACAAGAGTTTGGTTCTATAAACTTACGTCCTATAAAAGTATAAAGTAGTCTATTAAGGGGTTGTTGATTTATTATCCATTAAGTTCTGAATTTATTAAGTTGTCTTTAAGCATTAATCTGTCTGGATAAATTAAGATAAATTGTTATTTGATTTTTGTCTTGAATAAATAATCTAGACAACAAAAATTACCATTTTAACCTTATGTCTATATATGTGCTGAATGAAAATAAACTGTTCGATAATTATAAAAAACCTAAATAATAGGAATTATTTAAAATAACATAAATAATATGAAATCAATGAGTTCATAACACAATACTTAATAACTTAAAATATGTATTATTGTTTAATTACAATCTTTATATTATGCATGTTAGTAAACTATTAATTTTATTTATTTATTGATGCAACACGTGATTAATTAAAATTTGTAGGATAAGGGTGATTTAGGAAAAAAAATTTGGCCTACTTAACATGTTAAGTCAATCTTTTAGTATTAAGTTAAAATCAAACATGTTAATATAACTTAACCAATTAAGCTAACCTCCCATTAAGCTCATTAAGTCGAAAACAAACACCCCCTAAGACACCTAGACATTTTTTTTGTCCTATAAACCCGATTCTACAGATTGTCCCATTTTCCCCATCTTGTATCATACTAGTAAGAAATCCGCTTCTATTTTGACGAATGATTCGCTACGCTTTCACGTCAGGTGCAAGAAAAGCTCTCCTTTATCGAGCAATACAAACTGGAAAGAGAAAGACAACAGAAGGTACAAAACGGCATGGTTTTTGATGTACCATATGATGTTTCTCCTGAACTTGCTTCTTCTTTTTATACTGTTGTTGCTTACTCGTATCTAGTTTCTCAAAATCGAGCAATACAATCTATCTGTATTGCTATTGCTTTACTCATATCCCGTTTCTCACGTTTTTTACTAGCCGGGGGTTTATACTCTTTAGGGTAGGGGTCAGGTCTGTGCATGACGTCTTACCCCTCGTGACCCCCATATTCGGGTGGGATATACGTGGCTCGTTTGGTTTGGAACTCGATCTCAATGATACATATCTTTGGTTTTGTTGTAGTTGGAAGAAGAGGAAGAATTAAGGAGGTTAAGGAAGGAGCTTGTACCAAAGGCTCAACCTATGCCATACTTTGATAGACCTTTCATCCCAAGAAGGTATATCATCATTCCCTGCACAAGAATCTCTTTAACACAAAATTATAAGACATGTATTTTTATACAAGCGTTGACCTAATTTAGGAGTGTTGACCCGATGGGACTGGGACTGGGACGGTCCAATTTTTACACAAAAATGTTATACGTGTTTTTTATAATTTAATATTGAGATACACTTTAAAATCCGTTCAAGTAGATAAAATCTTGTAAAAATCTTAAAAGAGTTGTAAAAATTCAATCTTTTTTGTAAATCAGGCCTATACATAACGGTCCCGGCCGTTCTGGACCTTGAAATTCCATAAAAAGTTGACCGTCCAAGTCCGTGGGGCCATAACCGGTCCCCACTAGATCGGACCACACCCAGTTTGGCATCTCTACTATATGTAATAAGATGGCTTAATGTGAACAAAGCATACACAAACTTGTATGTTCGTTCCCGTCACGTCATACATACCATTGTACCCATAATAAAGTAAAATGGTCTTAACGGGAACAAGGGGAGGGGAGCCTTAAGACATATTGGGTTCGTTTGGTTTGAGTTAATTGGTTTAATTTATGGATTTGATTAGGTCAGAAAAGCAGCCAACGATGCCAAAAGAGCCAAAATTTCACAACCTTCAGCATAAGAAGATCAAGTGCTGCATGTCTTGGAGTGATATGTATGCTCAGTGACATATTATTCTTTTTCTATTAATAAGGATTTTTTTCATATTCTTTGAATTTGTGTAAATGATGCAATTAATCTGGTTGCAGTTTTGGGTTAAACAGTTTGTGTCATTCTCTAATGAAACTCCCCTTTTGTTCTACAGTGTTTTGTTGAGTTTCTGTTTGTTTATTTCTTTATTTTTAAAGTATGCATATATAAACATAGGGTTGGGTTCATGTGAGACCATTTTTTTACACTTGAAATTTCACAGTGTTTCTTTACAGCAAAAACACTGAGAAAGTTACCTTCACAGCAAACAAAATGGTCTACACACTCTTATCTTTGATGAGATTTGAATTGGGAGGCTAGACTAGAGATGGCCAAAAATGAGTTTCGAACCAATCCTAAATTGGTCCCTTCAAAATAGGGCCGGCCGGTTCCCATCCCTGTCCCGATCAAAAATCGCATAAGCAATCTAGACGAGGTTACCGTTGGGGCATAACAGGATATTGTTACCATCTAATAAGTTGTTCAGTTATTTTATCATAGAGGAACCTACTTTCTTTATTTTCATTGTATTTTCAGTTTTTCTTATTACGATAATATACTTTCAAATTATTTTTTATAAGAGTACTGTACTTTGAAAATCTACTTGTTGTCTTTTAAACCAGTTAACTCTCTCATCTTTGTTTGCTTACATGACTTAAATGATGTGACATGGATGAATAATAATAAAAAAAACATCTTTCAAGTTTTTTAATTATCTCCCCAATTTTTCATATCTAACCCAAATTTTGTTTTGAAAAAAAATTATGAAAGTAAAGTTGTTATTTTGCAATTTCGTCTTTTGTGATTGTGATATCAAATGAACCGGGTATTGGGCTCAACCGGATACTCTTGATGGCTCCATGAGTGAGCCTATCAAGCCCACATTAGCTACTACTATTCACAACAACTTAGATTGTAAATTTTCGTGAAAATGGTTCAAAGTAGAGTAAATTACGGATTTGGCCCTTCTGGTTTTTGTTTGGTTTTGGTCTCACTTAGTAATTTTGTCTATCTTACTTTGTTAAGTATGAGGGCAAAATTGTCATATAAGAAAATTTAAATAAACGTAATTCACCCCCTCTCTCCGCTCGCTAGCTCTCCCCTCCCCCCTCTCTCTCACCTGACTCTCGGACTCGATTGATGGATCATGATGGTGAAGGAGATGAAGGAAACTAAAAAGAAAAAGGGGCAGCGAGCTTGTAGAAATGGCGAAGAGAGCAATAGATGAATAGCCGCAGATAATGAGTATGGGGGAGTCGTTGCCGCCTGTAATGACTTGGCCACAACGGGTAATGAATAACTGAAATTCTTATGGGATTTCTAAATCCAATGTTTGTGATCAAATTTCAATTCCGGACTTTCTGTTAAACCAAATGTGTAATTGGAATGAGATTCAATTCTAAATCCTACCCAAACCCTGCAAACCAAACGAACCTCTAGTTGTATGTGGACTACTTGATGAATCCTTCCCAAATCACAAATGGTGGTGAACCAATCGCACCCCTAGGGTATGTTGAACCATCGAGGTAGTTGCTATTGGATGCGTGGACAGAGACTGGTTCGGGAAATTTGGACGGACGTGTGGACTTTGATTCTGATTCATCGCCTTCCAGTCTGCTTCATGATTCGGCTCTGACTCTAGCTTCAATATTGATTCATGGAATTTGATTTAGGGTTTGAGAGATGTTTGTGTTCAAATCATGTGATTGAATTTTGATTGCTTGAGAAGTGAACAAGGATTTTGTGAAAGCAACCATCGACTTGTCTATGTTTATGGTTGTGGCGATGGTTGGTGACGGTCGTGCTGAAAGTGGTCGGTGTTGGGGTGGTTCAACCATGGGTGACCGATCATTAAAAATAATAATTAAGAAAATATTATCAATCAACGTCAACGTCAACGTCATGTCACATTGTAAAGATAAAATGACCGTATTGCCCTTATAAAAGCGGACTTAACCACCGACACTTAAACGTCATTAGTCAACCAAAAACTCATACCAAAGGGATTCTTTCGTAACAAATGAATTGTACGAACCAAAACCAACAAAGACCAAGAACCACAACGACCAAATTCATAATTTACTCTTTTATTTGCAACTTCCGGTTCTAGGATGCAATGCAAGAGCTTATATGAACCAAGACCATACCGGTTGAGCCAAGTTTAAGCGAACCATGCAACTCAAATACACCCCTAGCGTGTATCACAATGCCGTTTAGCTTCATTAGGATGAGGACATATGCACCTAGGTTCGAATCAAACTTGTAATAGCAAATATTTTACCAAGGAAGCATCGCTTTCTGGTCTGTGTTTCAACAAACCATCGACACACTAGTAACACTAGTTCTATAAATTAAATAACAGGTAAAGGTCGAGGGGCATTTACCCCACCCCAAATTATTTGTCTCACTCGGTCATGTCCAAGCAAGTGTCATAGACAACAAATTTTTGTTCTATCCTATCCCATCCTGTCGTTGGGGTGTATTTGCTACGCGGGACGGTATGGAACAAAACTAAACACAAATTTGTTGTCTCGAGTTTAGTGCAGCAACTAGATTGTGACAGCATAGGACTGAGAGAGACAAAAGTGCACTTTTTTCAGCCCCACCAAAATAGGTGAAACAAAATTCACTTTGATCAGACAAGATTGGTAAATTACTTAACAATTCATATCAAATTAAAACCTTAAAACCATCCAAAATTCTTTCACCCGATTGTCTCACTCTCAACCGTCTAGTTTGGCTACTCCTGTCCATGTACAAAGATTACCCTAACAAACCAATAACCCAAGATCCTTTGAAGCAACTATTTATTGCAGCAGGTAACTAGGATAAGATATCGACATTATTATAGCATATAAAATCATTCTAGACAAGCTCAAGTTCAAAAAGTACCAAAATTTTCAAACTTATAACTAAAAAACGCATAACATTTTAAGGGAAGACCGCTACGGACCTAAATTGAACTAATAAAACAAAACGCGAAAATTGGCTCAACGAAAATGTGCAGAAGAACTTACATAGCATGGGCAATGATTCAGATTTCGTTCCAATCTATTCTTCTTGAGCTTCTTTCTTCTTTTTCTTCTTCTCCTTCTTCTTCGAGCTTTTGCTTGCTTCATCTTCACTTACAGCAGCCGATGGAGTTACAGTGGCATCACCATTTTCTTTATCCTTCTTTTTCTTCTTCTTCTTTTCAGATTTATCCCCATCTGATAAAACAGCTTGGGCTTCGTCACCATCTTTACTTTTCTTCTTCTTCTTCTTCTTCTTTTCAGTAGTCTCACCTTCTATGTCTTCTTCAATCTTCTGCTTCTTGGAAGCTAATGGTGTATCTGTAACATCATCTTCTTCTAATTTCCTTTTCTTACCTTCTTCGCCATCTTCAATACCCTTTTTCTTCTTCTTCTTCTTCTTCTCACCATCAACTTTCACAGTCTCTGTGAGTTCTACAGTTTCAGTCACAGGTGCAGCTGCAAGACTGGCAACCATTGAATCTCCGCCTGGCGGTAGAACAACATTCCTAGACCACTCAGCCGGAGTTTTCTCATTTGGTTTCCCATGTTTGCTCAGTTTCCCTTCGGAAATCAGCTTCTTTTTCATAGAAGCTGTGGGTCCCAACCCCCATTTCCGCGGGTAAGTATCTCTATCCATCACCACCCTTTTGATCTTAGCCACAACCCCATGATCACAAGTAGCCATAACAGCAGTAGTCATCTCTGCTATACCAAGAGCTATGGCCTCCCCTTTTGTGGTCATTAACACCACTTCTTCTCCATTCTCAATGGAGTTTTCGAATCTTAACAAGCCCGGAATCATCAGTTTAGCACCGTAACAGATAGCATTTACAGCAGAATCCTTCACCACTAATCTCTTGTAGCTGGTCAGTAAGACCTCCAATGGCATGATCACTCTCCGGAGATATGTTTCATCTCTGTAATTATCATATACCCATTGTGCATCCATAACATCATGCATAGTTATCATGTTATCTTTCTCCCCCATGATCCCAGACCTAACTCTCCTCAATTCCTGCATATGGCCACCAACGCCCAAAATCAACCCCAAATGGACACACAAAGTTCTCACATACGTACCAGCCTCGCATGAAATCCAGAAGACAACCAAATGTTTATCAGCATCATACTCTAATAGCTTGCTTTCGTATATGGTTCTGATTCTAAGCTGCCTTTTAACGGCGGAAATCAATGGCGGTCTCTGGAAAACAGCACCAGTTAAAGTTTCCAACGCTCGAGCCACCTTAGCGACATCAGGCACCGCGGAATGGAGTCGCGCGACACAGACGTACTCTTTTCCGGCACCTTGTTGTGATTTAACAAGCCGAGTGGCTCGATCGATGCAAACGATTAAGTTTCCAGTGACTTTTGGATCGAGTGTGCCGCTATGGCCGGTTTTCTCGACACGGAGGATACGTTTGATCCAAGCTACAACCTCGTGGGAGCTAGGGTTTGCAGGTTTATCGAGGTTAATAACACCATACCTGATGTACTCAGCGAGAGGGCGTTTGAGAGGAGAGTAACCGGAAGGGAGTGGTGTATAATGTCCGGTTCGAACGTTGAGACGGTCGTAGTTCTTAAGAAGAATCGGCCATTCAGAAGTGTCGATCGACGGAGTGAAACTCTGGGGCTTTATCAGGTAATCCACGGCGTCGGTGGCGTCGTCGGAACTTTTATTCACGATGGCGTCATCTTTGGATTTGCTTTTCTTTTTCTTCTTCTCTGAACGACTGAGTTCGAGTTCGGACATGGCGGCTCTCCGATGTCGGAGTTAGAATGGCTCGCCGGAGAGTCGGGTGTATTCTCGGCGGAGGTGGCTAGGGTTTTGCAGAAAGAAGAAGCTGGGTTTAGGGTTTTTTGAGGTACTTTTGATAGGGTGGGTAAAGTTAGTGTGTGAGCAGTTGCTGCTAAGTTTATATGCACCCTCCCATTTCTGAACTGACACGTGGAATAAGAAGTGACGGATTAAAAAAATTGATTAACGACAACCCTAACTAGATACGCTTGGCCCGTACGTCTTGACATAAGGTTAGAGTTCTAGCTCTTCCAGAGTGGTATCTCATTGATGGCTCGAACCCCCCTTTCGTTCTCGCTCGACGGGTGGGTCGTGCAGTCAAGCTCCCTTCTGACATATTTGGTTCAGTTCTCGATTTTCTAACCAAAAACAAGTTATTCAATTTCAGTTTGGTTTCAATGCGCTTATAACCATTCATGGTCGGAGTGTAACTGGTTTTTTGAAATAAAATGAGATTTCAAACGCTGAACAACTTGATATTTCTTTTTTGCTTTGAAACCCTATTTTGGCCTACACTTGTTGTCAACAAATCCCTAGTCGTTGTTGCAACTTGTGGACTTGGGCTTACTGTCCGGCTTCTTCAACTCTTCAAATTTCATGTTAAATTCACAACTTTTATATGAGACCATCAAACTCGGTTCAAGGCCACGTGCAGGGCCGTCCCTTAACATGTTAAGTGTGAGATTTTGAACAGGACCCCCGAAATTTTGGGGCCCAAATTTACATGTGTTTAGGATCTTTTTATCAATTTGTATAAAACTACAGCCTAATTATTTAGGTTCAAACAATTATTTATTTGGTTTTATGTTCAAATAATTGGTTTAGGTTTAGTTTCAGATTGTTAATCGTTTTAGGTTTAGCCCATTTTTATTCTTAACATATATTCTCTGTCATCTCATTTATGCAATGTAATTAAAAATCTTGGATGTAGCAGGGCCTCCAAAAATATTGGAACGTCCATGGCCACGTGCAACACATAGTCCTTTTTGCAACTATGAACATACAAAAGTTGTTATTGGCCAATTATTCGCCAATGTAACGCATTTTTCTTGCATTAAAGACATAACTAACACACGTATATATGTGTGTATATATATATATATGTATGTAAGGTTGGGTTCACGTGAAACCATGGGTTTTTTCGTGAGATCCGTGAGACCAATTTATGTTCATTGATCAACTTTATAAACTGGTGATTTAATGATCTAAAGTTGCACGATGGCAATTTTGTGATTATTGAGAAGTCTCGTGACAATATTGTGATTATGAATGTTGAGATTGTAGTACTAATCTAAGTGTGGATAATTGGTCTTAGGGGTCTCACGAAAAACTCTTGGTCTCATATGATCCCAAGTCTCTCTCTCTCTCTCTCTCTCTCTCTCTCTATATATATATATATATATATATATATACTATATTATAAAGCATTTGACAAAAACTCTTAAAAACAATTTTTATGCATGAAGTACTGTATATTGATGTATGTTACTTAAAATTCAAAATTACAAGTAAATTATGCATAAATACAACTTATTAAAGTTTCATGTTTGAATTGATGTAACTAAATGCGAATAAACATAATCAAATAGAGGATAAATATCTCATTTTAAAATATAAAAAATCTAAAATATAATTAGGATAATTATCGAGTTCTAACAGAATCATTATCTTTATAAAAATTTTATTGTCAAGACAAAAATAAATTATTTCACTATTTGATCTAAATTAAATTATATTAAAAAAATGAATTAAATAAATTATATAAAAAACAAGAACTTTTAAATAGTTAATTTGATATTAATATCAATATATTTTTAAAAAAAAATTATGATGTCTTCAAATTTATTTTTATTTAAAGGTAAAAACATTATCTTTCTCAAAACTACATAAACCGTATTATATCAACAAAAAATGAATATGTATTTCGTTGCATTACGCGAGTACCTTCTAATATACATACATACATACATACATACATACATACATATATATATATATATATATATATATAGGATTGGGTTCACGTGAGACCAAAGGTTTTTTGTGAGACGCGTAAGTCGTAAGACCAATTTATGTTCATTGATCAACTTTATAAGCTAATGATCTAATGGTCTAAAGTTGCATGGTGGCAATTTTGTGATTATTGAGAAATCTCGTGACAATTTTGTGATTATGAATATTCAGATTATAGATCTAATCCAATGATTGAGAATTAGTCTTACAGTTCTCACGAAAAGTACTTGATCTCACATGATCCCAAGTATATATATATATATATACCTAAACAAGAGGTTGTGCGAGGATATGAGTTAAAATGCTAGGTATAAATAGGGATTTAGATTTTTTGATCTAATTTAATCCCAAAACAACCCATGAATTACGCTTCATAAGAAAATTGATCTAGTGGTTCTCTTCAATTATGATTGATCAAATAGTGGAGATCCTTTATTACCTATTCTCACCAAAACTCAACCCTACGTAAATGAATGATCGTGTAAGAATAGAAGTTAAAGTGATAATCGTAAAAAGAGATATGGACCCATGATCATTTTTTAATCTCACCCCTACCTCATGAATTGTGCTTCTCATGGTAATTGATATGATGCATCCCAATACATCTCATAGTGTTAATTTTCAATTTTAGTTGATCTAATGGTGAATATTTATTCTTATATTTTTCACCATAACTTTTATTCTTACCATAACCAACCATATATATATATATATATATATATATATATAGAGAGAGAGAGAGAGAGAGAGAAAGAGAGAAGCGTTCAAATGAAAACCGCCTTCATTTGTGTAAACCGTGTAAACCAATCTCATTCATCAATTTTCTTGATTAATGGTCAAGATTAGGTTTACTTTATTTTAGGAAGTTAAAATATATATATATTAAAAATTATTTTTATATCAACAATAAGGGCAAAATGGTAAACAAAAATACATATTATGTAATATCCTATTGAATGACATTATTCTTTATTTTAGAAAATTAAAAATTTCTATTTGTTAGGAAATAATTTCGCTAATGCAACAATTCCTTATCCTGAAATTGTTTCAATGTCCTTCACACACCCATGTAAATATGCACCCTAATCATTATGAAATTATTTCAAGACGCACCGGTTTCATCATGAATCCATTTCAGCATGTAATTATTTAATGACAAACCGTATACATTATACACCCGTTTCATTTTGCATTTCACCTATTAAATGAATCAACTACACCATCACTGAAACGGGGTTCACCATCAAACCAGTTCACTACTCATTGTTCAATTACACCATGAAACTTGTTTCATGTACATAGATTAGTTTATTTCGCTCCTGCTTTGATGAATTCATTCCTTTAATCCTTACAATCTTAAAGATTCTATAGCATATTTGATATTACAATCTTATAAATGTAAGGGGAAATGATTTTAATCTGCTACATAATCTTGAAGATTGTAATCTGCTCCAGAATCTTCAAGATTGTAAAGACTAAATGAATGATTCCATCAAATCGGTGGTGAAATAAGAAAATTATTGTACATGAAATAGTTTTCATGAAAGTRAAACTGGTTCATGGCAGTATTGAGTCTGATAAGTGAAATGGTTGCATAAGTGAAACAATTTCTTGTTGTATTATAAACTTTTATGAAGTCAGTAATCGATGAATTTTTTTTAGATAACAGATCCATCTACCAGTATAATGAAAATTACGAAATATGATAAGTATTACGTGGATTAGTCTGTTGATTAAATTTTGAAACCAATTTCGTTCATATAATGTAATTCAAAATTTAAAACGATTCACTCCATATAATTGAATATGGTGTGTTATATTCATTTTTTTTAAATATGTTTTATTGATGGATTTGATTTAAAGTTAAAAATAATATATTGTTTTAAAAAATGAAAATCGTGTCATTAATATCGAGAAGGATGTTACCAAATGTTAAATTTTGTTTACCATTTTTGCCTTTACCGTTGAAATAAAATAAAATTTTAATATATATGTTTTTTAATTTCCTAAAATAAAGTAAACTAATCTTGGTCATTGATCAAGAAAATGGATGGATGAGATTGGTTTACACAAATGAGACAGGTTTTTATTTGAACGCTCATATATATATATATATATATATATATATATATATATATATATATGTATTGTCTTTATTTGATATTTGTATGTAGTGTTACTTAGGAAATTAGAAAAATATATGAATAAGTTGGTTAAAAATCAAAACATTAGATGAATCCAATAAATGACTCAAAATAAAAATTAGCGGATATAACTTATCTGATTCAATCATCTATTGGATCAGATTTGATCAAAATATTATACGAATTAGTAAAATTTAACAGATAAAACTTACCCAATACAATCATCCCGTTGGATCAGTTATCCAATATTAATCGGACTAGATGATAAATCGTTTAACATCAATTGAATTGGATCAAATAACAAAATTCGATATTCAATAATTATTGAACGGTGTAAATTTAGGGGTTGTTGCTAGTTGATGAATGGTTTGGTGCAGAATGATTAAGTGATCAAAATGATTAAGAGGCTGTCATTATATAATGCAAAATGAACTATAATTGTTTTGGTAATTGATTACAATGAAATTAGAGCTCTGAATGATTAAGAGAGACATATGATACAAAACCGTTCAGAGGGTTTTGGAACCATTAAGAGACAAACTATTTTTTTGTCAAAATATAATTCATCTCTTAACGATTCAGAAACTGTATTTTAATAAACTATCAAGAATAAACAAAAACACCTATTATTAAATTTCAAGTAATGTACGCCCTTAAATATTTTTTAAAAAAAGAATCAAATATAACCGATTCGATTGGTTCCGTTCTATTCCAAACCGGTTTTGTTTGGCCCAATACTTGGCTAAAGAACCGGTTCAGCACAGGCCCAACAAGTCCCGGTGGGCCCAAAACTGGAACATATAAATAACTGAGATAGAATCTGCGTAGAAAACCTAGCCCATTGATCCTCGTCCAGACTCCAGGTCTACAGAGCCTCAACGCAGCAACAATGGCGACGGCGAGAACGGTGAAGGATGTTTCTCCTCATGAATTCGTCAAGGCTTACGCCGCTCACCTCAAACGATCCGGCAAGGTAAAAACACTCACATTATTGATCTTATGGTTTCGTAATGTAGAGTGATCGAGTAGTTCTAGAATCACGGATGCAAATGCGTACAAGTTTACATATGTTCGTTTTATTGAATTGTCATTCTGTGTTTGATGAACTTTGGCGCTAATTGCCTCGTCTGTTAATGTAGAGTTTAGGGATTCTTTTAATAAATTTTGATCAATTGAACAGTTTTTTTTTGAATGTGTCAATACAGAATCGAGTATTAAAATGCATATAAGTTTTCTTCAGTTCATTGTATCCTTTTATGCGTACCGATGATGTATGATTTTGTGTTTGGTGGGCTTCAGCTCTAATCGCCACTGTTTTTATGGCGATATGAATGCATTATGTGTAGATTTCTACTATTTCTCGAAATTGGATATGCATTTTGAGTTTAATAAGTTGATTTTGGGAAATTTCAAATCACAGAACATGAAATGATGTAGTAATAGAAGACGTCTACAGCTAAATATCCTAAAGATCAGCTGTCAAACTACAATTTTCACCTTTCTATCCTCTGAACCTGTTGTATGTTGTTTTAAAAGTAGAATTGATCATTTTGATAATCGTGTTTTGCACAGATGGAGCTTCCTGAATGGACTGATATAGTGAAAACTGCTACCTTCAAGGAACTTGCTCCGTATGATCCAGATTGGTATTTTATCCGTGCTGGTATGTTCAAACCATATTGGTTCAGTTTACATGAATGTATTGGTTCCAACACAAACTTATAAGAGAGAAAAATGAACATACATCTAGCTATTCTATTTTGCAGCTTCTATTGTTAGGAAAATATACTTGAGGGGTGGTCTTGGTGTTGGTGCATTCCAGAGAATTTATGGTGGTCACAAGAGGAACGGAAGCAGTCCACCTCATTTTTGCAAAAGCAGTGGTGGTATTGCTCGCCATATTCTTCAACAATTGGAAACCATGAAAATCATCGATATGGATCCCAAAGGGTGAGCCACATCATTAGCTTTTGCTTTATGCAATTTTCTGTTGAAGAATCTAAACTGAACCAAAACAAACAAAATGGACCCGGTAAATCCCGTGTAGATATAGGGTCTTGGGGAGGGTAAGATGTACGCAGACATTACCTCTACCTCAAGGGGTAGAGAGACTCCTTCCTTGATGACATTAGGCTTGCAGAACAATATTTTGTTCAAGTGTCTATTGGTTGCAATTTTATATCACCCAATAGTTTGTTTCACATGCTTTATACGTCATATTGACCGGGGTAGAATTGTAGAACCTCATCCTATGAAGTTATAGCTCAAATTGAGAGATTGTAAGATGACACCGATGGACTCTTTAACAACACAAATTGGGTAAGCGCTACGGGGTAAAAGTGCGGTCTGTGAATAAGAGTCCCTTCCTTAGTATACGAAGCCAGCATCTTGGACCCCTAAGCGGTTGTTTGGTTGGTTTTATATTAAGATCTGTATGGATTTTATCTGTACATGCAGATTAATTTGTCTGTATAGATTAAGAAGGATTTTGTTGGAAATTTTTTTCATAGATGGAGGGAGTGTGTTTTTTAATTTAGAGGGGGGGAGGTTTGGAAAAGTTGGCTTTCTGTATAAAGCTTCCACCCCTAAAAGCTTCTTGAATAAGCTAATTTCTATATCATTACGCCACTACCAAGCAGTCATATATAGCTGACGGAATAAGTTGTGAGTCTCATGAAGTTCATTAAGCTACTAACAAACAAACAGGTTCTTAGGAGTGGCTTGGTAAACAGTATCATCTTGACTGGACAAGCAATAGTAGGCACTAAGCAGTTAGTAAACAACCTCGTAGTGTCTAATTCTATCTGGGTTGGGTATATGTCCCAAGCATAGTTTTGTGCCCTTAAAAATGCTAGTATCGCATCATGTTGCCTAATTATGCACCGAAATTTCGTTTCTCTTTTTTCTCGCCTTGTGTTACAGAGGGAGAAGGATTACTTCGAACGGGCGACGAGATCTTGACCAAGTTGCTGGGCGAATCGTGGTTGCACCTTGACGGTCAATTATGTCGTAATTTTTGATATTCATGTAGCTAAACAAATTTTGGTGAAATGGTTTTGTTATCCATTTTGAGTCTTGACATATTTTGGTAGTATTTCTGCAAAAATTGCGGACATGACTTGTTTGGAATACTAGTAATAGTGAGTTGATTTAAGGGACCTTAAACATGACTCACAGCTTATTGGTGACTTATTCAATATGGGAGAGCTTTATGAAGAAATCGAATTTTTTTTCAAACCTATACCTCTCAATTAAAAAAAAGTCTTATCAAATAAAAATATTCTTAATTTATTTAGACAGATTAATTCATACAGAAAGATTATTCATATTGAGATTAATGAATACCCTGACAAATACATCTTATAAAAATATTCATTACATTTAATTAAATGTTATCTCTCTCCCAGATACTTGATTTCAATGTCTACAGTTGATCAGAAAGAATTAACTATATTTTTAAATATAAAGTTTTAGGGGTTGTTTGACAGTTGCTGAATGGTTTGGTGCAGAATGATTAAGAGGTTCTCATAATATAATGCAAAATGAAATATAACTGTTTACAATGAAATCAGGGCGTTTAATGGTTAAGGGAGACTTATGATACAAAATCATTCAGAGTATTTTAGAACTATTAAGAGGCAAATATTTTTTTTGCCAAACAAGATTCATCTCTTAATAATTCAGATGTTGTCTCTTAATGAAACTATTAAGAGGTAAACAAACAACCCCTTTAGAGATTTTTTCAAATTAGATTTCTACCCTCTTTCTTGTTTTCTTTATTTTAGCATAGTTGTTGAAGCAAAAATATACTCAAAATCTCTAACGTGGCTGTTGGAGATGCTCTTAGAAGTCAAAGCGTTTTTCAAAGTGTGACTTATGGCGGTACATCTTTATATTATATATATAAAAGTATATGTTTTCTACTATTTAGATTATATATTCAAAACTAACAAATAAAACATAGAAACGGTAAGAAAAAGCAAATATAGCATTACAAAAACCGAACATTCTGCTATGGCGTGCCATTTGCTTAACGTAACGTGAGTCACAAGCCTGACACCACAATCACCATGATAGCCATTGTGGCAACCTTTGAGAACAATGATCTCTTTACACATTATTTGAATCAAAAAGTCCGAGAAATACCAAAATTACAACAATAAGAAAAGATTTAGAATATGAAAATTTCGAGGATATCAAATGTTGAGATGGGTAGAGATTGAGAGTATGTATGAAAAATAACGAAACATTCACCATCTATTCTACTTTTAATTATAAAGAATCTTTTTTTCCTTACATAATTAAGGTTAGAACAAGAAAGTAGATCTTTTAAAAAATGGACACTTATTTTGGAACAAACTCAAAATAGTAACGTTGATACTTATTTTGAGATGAAAGAAGTACCAAAATCCAACAAATTGCATTTTGTATAGTGTAAAATTTTGAGTGATTCTCTTTTTTTTTCTTTAAGTATATAATATTTTATATTCGGCAAATATAACAAATAAGCTCACACCCTTCTCACCGTTGGTAAAGTTTGAACTTTTGACCTCTTAGGAGGCAAAATGCTACAATACCGCTAGGCTAAAGACCCTGAGTGATTGTTCTTATGGAGACTCCCGCTTTGTGATAAATTGTCAAGAAGTTAATACAAACTACATATAACTTCACTTCTCACGCGATCGTCGAGAAGTGATTGTTTTTACGCTTCTCACCATAACTTCACTTCACCTATATATGCATACATAAACATATTATATGCATTAAATATAGTTTCAACATCGAAACATCAACTTAAACAAGTTTCACAAAACAAAATAAGAAAAATGTTCATAATCGATGATAGAAAACTCAAATAGTGTCAAAGAAGGTTGACTTTCAACGATAATAAAAAGAAATTGAAAACCAAAGATTCTAAGAATTTCTAAAACGGATATTGGATGATATTCGTTGACTGTTAAAGGATTGAAATAAAATAAGCGCCCAAATCAAAATAAAAGCCCAAAAAAAGACAATACAAGTATTACATTTAAAAGATCGCAATTTGCACCGCTATTTTTCTTATGCCAGGTAACCGCTATTGCACCACTATTACGCTGCAATTAGCAACATAGATGTATGCAGACTTTGACTCTATCCTAAATAATATAAAGACAAACAAACCCGTATAAAGGTAGGATTTAGGGGTAAAATGTACAGAAACTTTGTCTCCACCCCCAAAGGGTAGAAAGCATGTTTCCAAGAAAACCATCGACTTGCAAAACAAAATATACATGGTTACATACGAGAAAATGGCTCGATTGGGAAGAAGATTTGAAGCATACAAGACGATTATACATCAACTGAACCAAACACGAACGTTACAAATACAATTTCCTAAGACCCAAGCGAAATTTACGTCGTTTGTTCATTGACATGTCCCTAACGACACATCGGACAATATACAAATATCGGTCTGGACCGATTCCTATTTGACCTGTTTTGATGAAACCAAACAAACCCAGTATATCCCATACATAGGTAGGGTTTTAGAGGGTTGGATGTAGGCAGACCTTGCCTCTATCACAAAAGGGTAGAAATACAGTTTCCATGAAAACCCGAACATAAAGTGTGTGCAAACAAGCAATAAGTACAATAAACAACTGTTGTTTTTTAAAGGGTGTCTCCAGCTACGCCCAGACTGATCCCAACAATTTTTTGGACACCTGGATTCGAACTCAGGGCAGATGGGATATTCCACGACATCCCCTTACTTCCAATCAAGCATGTCCAACAACCACAACACCTCTTCCTCGGAGTTAGCAGCATCACAAAAGTCGATCTCGAGCCCAAACACATTGATGTCGTCATCTTTCCCACCGTCCATGAACAACAAAGCGATCCAAGCCCGAATTCCCGACACAAAAGGGTACGCAGGGGAGAACACGAGATAATTAAATGCAAGTGCTCTACACGTAGACCGATCGATATAATCAAACATTGCCTCATGGATTATACAAGCAACTTTCTTGGTGTCTTTTCGTGCCACGAGCACAGAAACGCTAATGGTCTGCGTATAAGGAACCGCAAACTGTGGTTCCACAGGCAACGTTAGTTTGTATTCCGGACCCTCCAAATGAAACTTCATCACGGGGATGACCCCGGCTGGTGGGGTCCAGTTTCCCTTCCGTAGGGCAGGGCCTGGGACGACTTGTGAGAAGAGTAAATTCCCGTCTGCCCAGAAGTCGATATAGAACTCTAGATCACTCAACGAGATCCGTGGAGGAAGGAGGGTTCGATGGTTTTCGCGTTTGTAGAACGTTTTGAAGAGTTTATGGTAAGTAAAAGGAGGGGATGGATTCTTACATGTTGATGGCCATTTTTTTGCACAAAGACACTTCCAGAAGTAATCGTCTCGAGCTATATTTCGCCATTGCTTGCATACGGCCGTACAAGCGGCTAAATCAGCGCCTTCAAGAAGCGGGAAAACAGCCTTTAGTATCTCATCAGACGACATGCCAGAAGAACTTGCAAACAACTCGATAATGGTTGGCTAGTGAGTTTTTCCTGCAAACATGTACAATTCCATGAGAAGATATCGTCCTTATGATCCTAATAAACATTACTCTAAGAAGCAAGGGAAGGAGTTTTGCTGTAAATAAAAATTATATGCAAATAAGATTATGATCCTTATAAACATTACTCTAAGAAGCAAGGGCACTTTTACCCCTTTTGCCGGATCCCCGTGTCGAGGGCCTTAGGGGATCGAGTTTTTTGGGGGTGCAACGGGCCCACAAGTTGCATATTGCTATATCTTGTCTCCTTCTAAATTTAGAGATTTCTCCATTCTCTCTTTCTCTATTTTAGAGAAGAGTTTAACATAGCTCTTGGAGTAAACTTTTTCCAAATCTCCAAAATTTCTAAAATAGCATAGCTATTGGAGATGCTCTTAGATATACTGCTATATCACCAGATTATTTATGAAGAATTCATGGGGATACCAAGAGGCAGTTTTACAGGTATGCTATACTTTCTCTCATTCCCCACATTTGAAGATTTCTCCATTTCTCTCCTTTTCTTCTTTATTTTAGAGGAGATTTTAGCATAGCTGTTGGAACAAACTTTTCTCAGATCTCAAAATTTTCTAAAATAGCATAGCTGTTGGAGATGCTCTAATACCTTACAAAACTAGAAACTATGGTTAAAACCAGGAATTCTTTCAGTTTTTTCATTCTCACAGTGCAAATTTCGTTGAAAGCTAATAGCTATTTCAGTAATTAATAGGTAATAAACAGGAACAACATAAGCTACATGATCACCATCGATTTTCCTAAAAAACAGATGAACGGATTCAAACTTGCAGATTTTTCACCATCCAATCTTTTCACTATTATGGCTTATGAGCACCATGTGATGGTCAAATACCATAATTCCTATACCTTCTTTCCTTGTAAATGATACTCCAAATTATCACCAAATCATATGACAAAATCCACTAGAATCATTTAGGCTGCGTTGTTGGACTGGCCAAGCCAGATCAAAACTCATTGTTCCACATTTTGCACCACAGGTGGGAAAGAACAAAAACTCACTGTACCGTGGTTGGGATGACATGGGACTAGGTGGGACAAAAAAAGTTTTTTTGGAACCAAAATAGGTGGAGCAGAAATCACAAAAAGGGACCAAATTTACGAACGAACTTTATGAATCAACCGTGCAACTTTTCATAATTACACAATCCAAGTGAATTCATACACTTATTTAGCAAACTGATGACTAAAGATCAAAGGCATATAGTTCAAAATACTTGATATAATCGTCATTTGATCAACACAACAAAACTTAAAATAAGCAAAATTGCAGGAATAAAAAATGAAATAAGATCATGATCGGAATAAACAACAATGATTCAAATCGGAATACACAAAATCACAAATTGCTTTAGAAGATTATAAATCCAGGTTCAACACCAAAACCCTAGAAATTATCATCAATCACCTAAGATGATCACTGTTTTCTCATAATCAAACTCTACCTGAAAGATCGTTAGATCAATTTCATGATAATAAAATTACAAAACAGCGAATAGAAGATGAGATTGAATCACCTTCGATTTGGTAAAAGAGAATCGCTCGGAAGAGAAGATAACGACGACGGGAGGTTTGATCTTGGAAACAACGAAAAGTAAAATAATGACAGCAATAAATAATACTAGTAAAGGAACAAATAGTAAATTACAAGTTTGGTCCCTGTGGTTTAGGGTTTTCATTGAATCAAGTCCCAAAATTGAAAATAAATACAACTTTGGTACCCATTGTTTGTATGTTTCTCACTCTTGATTGTGGTGTGGAGATCAGTTGTAGAGGGAGATAAAGAGATGGGGATAAGTTAATGGATGGAATTTAACTTTCGTTTGGTGGGGGGACCAAAACGAAATTTTTTGTCATATACCACGGAGGTTCTTACAACAAAAATTTTGTAAGGACCAAAACTGAGAAAAACAACAAACTATAAGGACTAAAATTGAAATTAACTATAGATATTATATTTAATGATTATATAAATCATAAATTAATGTATTAATAAATCTAAATTTTATAATATATATAATAATCAACTTAAATTTTTTTAGTTAATATATTATATTATTATTATTTTTATTATATTATTGGTATTAATTAACATATTATTTTAGTGATTTATTTTAGTTATATTATAAAATTTTGTGATCGACTGATTTATCAATATGTTTTTTTGGTCATTTTATATTTTTTATCTAACTTATCAATTAGTTTTTTTATGAAACATGATTTATTCATACAACTGAATTGGTTGAGGAAAAGGAAAGCCCAGCAACCAAGCACTCCCGCCCCCAAAAACGAAGACCGAATAACAGTCAGATTGTCGAGACCCATTTAATTAAATGGGTTGTGTTAGGTTGAAATTTTTTAAAAAGAACCAAAATAAACTTCCTACTATTTTAAAACTATAATTTATCATTAGGCATGGGGATGAATCACCGTCGCCGATTACTTATCTCTATCCTCGTCTCCGTCCCCGCCGAGGAATATGATCACATCCCCATCTCCAACGGGGAAACGGAAATTTTTTTTCCCGTTTATGTAAGTTGTTTTAAATTAAATATGTGAGAGACCATACATGCTTAAATCTCAAACATTTTCAATAAACCGAAATGAATTTAATTTAATACAAAAAAAAACCACAACGTCATATAATAATTAATAACCTAAATAAAAAAATTAATCCAAAAATACTTAAAGTCACGTGTACCAAAAGATATTGAGTAATATAAAATCATATCGAATAATATACAAAACTTATTGGGTAATTGTATTTTGACGTGACATCTAAAAAATGACAATTTTAGATTATAAACCTAGTTAGATAATAAATAAATTATGAATTACCGTTTTAGTTGAAATAAATAATACAAATATATATATATATATATATATATATACATATAATTTATTAATTAATATATATAACGTGTACGGGGCAAGGCGGGGAGTACGATATTCGTCCCCATCCCCATCCTCGGTTTGAAACAGACGGGGATCCCTATCTCCGATTTAGCAGGGAATCCCCGTCCCCGATCGGGACGAATAGTCCGAATTTCCCGGCAAGTCGGGGACCATATTTATCATAAAAAATTATTTGATGCACTGCTTCACTACCACATTTAATATGTTTTAGTATTTTATATAATAATTAATTTATATTAAATATTAATTAAGTAAATGGAAAGGTGACAATAACATAAATTACAAACGTTCGTACAAAATAGAGGTCTAACCCCCTTCATTATTCATGGAGGACAAAATAAAAGAGAGATTGGTCAAAATAGCCATCTCTTGTGTGAATTAATTTTCTAATCATTTTTTTCCATTATTTATCCAATTATTATTATGTTCATAGGTTCTACATCTGTCACTTGTGGACCCAGTTAAAAGACAGATAAATTATCAGATTTGGCTTAGGTCCACAATTTTGACGGCCAGGTCTGCAATTACGACTGTTAGGTTTACAATTTGTTTTTTTGTCTTTTAGCCAGTTACGTAAGTGGCAGACATGAGATTTGCGGATGTAATGATATTTGGGTAAATCAGGGAGAGGAACGAGTATAGACCAATTTATGTAAAAGGAATGACTATTTTGACTAATTTTACCAAAATAAATGGCCATATATAATGTTTTCTCTGTTTCAAATTAAATGTCCATATTTTTATTTTAGTTTATCTTAAAACTAGTTACTCCAAAAAACCAAAAAAACATTTTACATGAGGGAAATTGCATGAAAAAGTAACATATTTTAACTTGATTCATATTTTCGGTAAGCTACTTTCAGAACTTTTATTTTTGTATCTAAGATATAAAGTGTTAAACATTTAAGTACTCGGGGAACCGGTTGAAGCATTAATCGATTACCATGCTGATGTGAAGAATGATGTGGTATCCAACTCAGTATTATTTGCTGACATGGATATCATAATCAAAAATTAGTTTTTATGTAATATGATCTATTAGAAGAAAGAGTTAATGCTTCAACAGGTTACCCGGATATTTAAATGTTTAAAACTTTACATCTTAGGTACCAAAATGAAAGTTCTGAAAGTATCTTACACAAAATATTAATCAAGTTAAAATACGTTACTTTTGCATGCAATTTACCCTTTACATAACAACATCCACAACCACAAATAACACAATATAATTTCACAATCTTTTTTATCGCACAAACTTCTGTTACGCACAAATAACGTAATATATATTATTACACATAAATAACCTAATGTATATTATTACACAGTCTTTTATTGCATTAGTTAACAGATAAGATGAAATTTTCAAGCATCTGACCATGTAATATCTAATTCTCCTTGCCTATCGCGAGGAACCCCCAAGGAGTTCCAAACTGCTCTCGAGGCATCAACAATATTATTACGACACGGAGGCTGAAAATCATGTTCTTCATCACATCCCATAGTAGAGTCACATTCATCCACAACTTTTGCCTTCACTCTCCTCCCGTTACCATTGATGGTAACAAACTTGTTGCACCTTTTGCTTTTATTGAACCATCCAGTCGATAGTGCAACAATAAGTTCGTTATCAGAGTGGTATTTGTTGTCACAAGTTGATTCACCGCCACCATCGCCACCTGCTTCAAAGCTGTTTAATGTTAAAACTGCACGAGTATTACCTGTTACTGGAGGCGAACAGGTATTTGTGGGGTACTCCTCGTCAGCAGAACAACAATCTGCGTCGTTTTCTTGGTTGCATGTTCCATCCTGTCCCCTAAGCCGACCAACTATGCAACGTTGAGCTTCTGTCTTCCAAAAACACGCAACGAATACAAGAAGCATAACAAGAAAAGATATTGATGTATTTTTGAACTTCATTGCTTCAAATTTCTTTACTTCTATAGATATCTTATTGTGTAAAACATGAAGAAGTCATCAACATAAATAGCCTCCTAAAATGGGTGCCCCTTGAATTGGGCAATGAATGACAATAAGTTTAGTGGGGTTGTATTCAACCTTCAATGCTTTTGGGTATTTTTGTAATTTAGATATAATTAATATATTAAATATTATTCAAATACGATGACTACGGGCTACCCATAAAACAGGTGGTCATTCTGAGATTAGTCGGTTCGCATAGCGAGTTAGATATCCATGTTAATATAAAAAAATTATCATTTACTAAATGAATAAAATTATCCAACAAATACACACAAAGTAATGAACCCAAAGTTCAAATGAAGTTAAAATCCTTAATTATAATTTCAAACTTTGAATTAACAATCTTACAATTTTCAAAACTCGCAGCAAATTCGGTTTCTTCAGCTTTGCTTCAACAAATGCTTGAATTACGACACGATATTCTGCAAGATTTTTGTAGTCATCAGGGATGGGTTACTTGAAAAACAGTGAAAAAAACGAAGTAGGTCAGTATAAACCTGTTATATATAACTAGAAGGGTATTCACGTAATGCAGCGAGATGTATCTTGATTTCTTAATATTTCATTTTATTCTTTATCTCAGTCGATGTTATAATATGGTCTTATGTGATTTTGAAAAAGCGATGATACTTTTTTTTCATAAAATATAAATTTGAATATATCATAAAAATTTGACAAAAATATATCGATATTAGTATCAAATTAACTATTTAAAATTCCTTATTTTTTGTGTAATTTTTAATTCAATTTTTTTATTATAATTTAATTTAGGTTCAATAACGAAGTAATTTATATTTGGTTTAATAATATAATTTTATTATAAATATAATAATTATTTATTTTGTTAGAACTCGATTATTATCCTAATTATATTTAGATTTGTTATATTTTAAAAATGAGATGTTTATCCTCTATTTGATTATGTTTATCCGCGGTTAGTTACACGAATTCAAACATAGAGTTTTAATAAGTTGTAATTGTGCATAATTAACTTGTAATCTTGAATTTTAAGTAATATACATCAATATACGATACTTCATGCATAAAAAAAATGCTTTTTAAGAATTTTTGTTAAATGCTTTATAATATAGTATAGATATTGTGATTTAAACTTTTGATTGCATATTGATATCCATGTTATGAACACAAGCATAGCTTAACATCCAATAATCATCGTCTCTTAAATATTTCAACTTTACATAATCAATTAACGGAAAATATAAAATATAAACAATAAAACCTCCCTATTTCTCTGAAAATGCACCATTTGTTTTTCATTTTTAGCTCTTAATTATTATTTATGTCTGATTTCTTAAGACGTTTTGTAATTCAGACTGTTTCTTTTATTATTATTTTTAAAGTCTCTTGTCATTTAATAGGGTCTGAATAAATAAGAAGTAAACTAATATTTTAATTCTTCTTCTTTCCCTTTTTCTTTGATTCTATTTGATATTGCTTCATTTTCCATCAGGGATGTCATCGTCATTTCATCAGTCATCACCCATGTGAAATGCACACCCTCGCCTTCTCTCTCTCTCTCTCTCTCTCTCTCTCTCGTGCATGTAAGTTAGCTTAGAAGATTAATGTGAAACAAGAACTTCTATCGACGATCTATCATCTATCAAAAGTATCCATCTTTCCGCAAACAAACCGACGACATTCCCGATAATATTGAAAGTCTGAAAGGTATCCAAAAGGTTTTTACCGTGTTTCATCTGTTAAACAATTGTTGAGATGAATTTCGGCAATAAAATTTTTATGAAAATCAAGAGAATTTTTCAAAATGTTTGCACTTGATTTTACAAAACAAATTATTGATCAAGATATCAAACATCAGACGTTTGTCAGTTTATAAAAACAAACAGTCTTATTGATTCAGATTTCAGACTTCAACACCACCTCTTATTAACCAAAAATAAAGTAAGACTTCAGATTTTAACAAATATTAAAAAACAAACGTCACCTTACACATACAAAGGAATGTAAATTATAATAAATGATGATATCAATTGTAATAAGTGGTATTTATGGATGTAAGTTAAATAATTAAAGAAAAAATAAATTTGTTTTAGTATTACAGTTGTCTACATAATGTCAATGAAAATAATTTCATGGGTTAATTGGATATGATAATAAATTTGTTTACCTCTTAATAATTCAATTAAAAAATAATATCTAAATCGTTAAAAAGTGAATCTTGTTTGACCAAAAAAAAAAGATGTCTCTTAATGGTTCTAAAACCTTCTGAATGATTTTGTATATTGGATCTCCCTTAACCATTCAGCGTCCAAGTTTCATTGTAAACAATTATATTTCATTTTCCACTATATCATGAGAGTCTCTTAATCATTCTAACCACTTAACCATTTTGCACCAAATCATTCAGCAACTGTCAAACAGTCCCTAAAACACAAAAAGTAGAAAGAAAAAAAAACATTTCAAATTTAATCAAATAAAACAAACCTGAGATCATGATTTGTCAAAAGAACAAACTACAGTTTATAATTCATCAAGCGAACAAAACTCAGTTCGTGAAATCCGAAAAAAAAACCAATATAGTAAATCGACAATAGACAATACCTTTGTCTGTAAAAGATGTTGGCTACAGATACTCCMACATGTCATATAGAGCAAAAAAAACTACTCTTACACACGAGATATTTAAATCCTCCAAGAAAACCTTTAACGGTATGCAACTATTCTCCTTAGATGAATCATCGGTTTTAAGCCCAAAACCACAAGGGTTGTGCTGTAGTGGTTGAGGTCCGAATATCTCATCTACTCATGGTTTGATTCCAGTATACGCAACAATTGTAGCCACTGAGTTTAATATGAATGATTATCGCAGTCACAATTTGTCAGGATTAGTCCAAACATAGTTTGGGACACCCTTCCAGAAAAAAAAAAAAAAAAAAGACGATAGAAAGTTGAAAAAACAATCTCTCATAGAAAAGCAATATGGTGGAATTGAACTTTGCTCAAACATCAAAAGCAAACTTTATTTTTTTTACTTACACTAATAATTTGTGCTACTAAACCCAACTAAAAACAGAAAATCAAAATCAACTGATTGCCTTTTGTTATTTATATGCATTTTTTTAGTGTATTTTGAACTAGGACACTAAAACAAACCTCATGTGCCAAAAACCTAGTTAGGGGCCGTTTACCAAATGCTTACCTGATTAAGCGTATACCAAGTCACATTACGTTATCGGATGAATATGGTAATGACCAAAAATTTTACCCGGTAAAAGCAAGACAAGGACCAAGAATCTTACCCGGTAAGTGAGAACAATGACTCTGACCACAGTAAGTGCTTACCGGGTAAATTGTTGCATACGATGCCGTTTTGATGGACTAAAATCTTACCTGGTAAGTAAATGATGGTGTTAATTTTTGCGGGTAAGCACTTACCCGGTTAGTGTTTGGTAAACAGCCCATTAGTTTTTGTTTATGCTGTTAAACCCAGCTAAAACACAAAATCACAGTTCCCATCTTGATTTATCTTTTTGATTGTTAAATATGTAATATTCTTTAGCCGAGGTATAGTTTGAGTTCGTTTTTGTGTTGGTGTGCTAATAACCGTTCATACCCTTCTATGCAAAAAAAACAAGAGGTAAAGAGGGAGAGAAAATGAAGAAATTAATTCAAGATAAAAGGTTAAGTTGACTTTAACGGTGGTAAAACATAAGCATACACATCTTCTCGAAAGCTCCATCACCAATCGTCACGTATTTTATAAACCGAGTCAGCAAAAACAAACAGAAAACCCTGAAATAGTTTCACAACAAATACAGACCTAAATCAGTAGTCACGTTCTTAGATTTATGATTCACTTGTTTTTTTAATGTGGGTTTGGTCCGCATAGAGAAATGAGGAACGTCTTTGAGAGAAAAGTGGGGAAATGAACCCCTACGTGGTTCTGTTTATAGATGATTTCTCCCATGAATCTCGGCCATGACTCGAGTTACAGAGGGAACTAAATCATGTGCTCGGAAAAAAAAAACTATGGTAAAAGAGGTGATTATATTAGGGTAATAATAAGTTAAGGCATTTGATGCCTTGTCTTAATTGATAAATTAAGACAATTAGTGGGTGATTAATAAATTAAGACAATTGATTTATGGAGAAAAAGAGAAAAATTACATAAAATAATAAATTAAAACAATTAATGGTAATTAATAAATTAAGAAAATTGGTTTTATAAAAATAATAAGATAAAGGGGCATTCTCATGATTTGGAGATGCCATGTCATCTTCCAAAGGTTCTTGTTTAGATATAAATAGACAAATATAGATAGATTGATCATTATAATTTTATTTTTTATATATCAATTTTAATAAATTTTTAAGTGTTTATAAATTCCTAATTTTATTTTTTATATATGTATATATATATATATATTAAATTTATAT